CCAGCTGTATTAGCCTTCAACTCTTAGAATTCCTTTCCCAGTACATCTGGAGAACATTGTTGGGCTCATGAGTATCAAAATTTTCTGAATGTTAGCCCCTTCTGTCAGAGTAATCACTTCCTAGAAATATACATGGTTCATTTTTAAGTTACACACTTTGCAAATTTCAAGCTATCATTGAATAACAATTTTTCAATGGCTGACGGATTTATAATATTGTGTTTAATTTTAAAATTGTAAATAGCTATGACGGCTTATCTCAAAGGCAGTTTAACAATGCTGTAAATAAATAATATCATGGCATTAAAATATGTAAATGAGAAAGAAAAAGCTAAAGCAAACCATGTCATGGTTGCAATAGCATCTACAACACAGAGTTAGCAGCACAAACCTTTTAGGAACAGAATGAATGCAAAAATAGTGAGGCCACAGTCATTCCTTTCTGCCATGTTGTGGTTTTCCTAAGGCTGATGGCTTGTGATACAGAAAAACAACAACAACAACTATAATATAAACCCTAGCAAGCTTAACCCTATAATAGGCTTAAAAGTAAAGAAACTCCCCAATCCCATGCAAAAAAAAAAAATAAAAATCTTGAAGACTTGGCCATAACTCCATGCATCATTGCTTTGATTACTGTGATGCTCATTTTCATCCTCCAAACATTTCATGTGGTCCTGACCACCAAATGACTGCTAACCCTGATACAGATGGAAAATAAGATTATTCAGTTTGCTTTAAAACTAAAGGCAAATGCCAAGATCCAAAAAGGACATTTACTATTCCCAGATCCCCATTTTCAAAGGATAATTTGAAAATCATAGCAATTGGCCATCATGAATATTCATGGATCAGTTTTACTTTTATCCATTCATTATGAAACTGGTTGAGGTTCTTTTTTCTTTACTGTTACAACTCAGTAGAGATGGAAAGAAGATGACTTCATCAAAGCTAGGCTGTGGGATAGGAATGTATGTCAAGGGAGTGGTATTTTTCATCATCTTCAGGAGTCAACACTCATTTTCCACAGCTGACACTGCCCCTAAATATTTACATAAGATGAGAATTTGTTATTTTCTGTGTTTAAAAAGATCCTGGATGATGTTTTCGGTAATGGTCTGCTAAAATCTGCCTTGCAATTTTACAAAAGCTTTCTTCTACAGTATAATGGCTTTTAGTACTATAATCCTTCTTTGGAGTCTGAGTTTCTTCTATTGCCTAGAAAAAGTGATTAAGCCTTTAGGATATTTTCATAAGAAATGATTCGTGTACTGCTGTTGGCTACTCAATGTAAGAGTAGAAAAACTACCATAGCCAAAATGGCAAGTTAAATTCTATTACTTGGCACCATTTATGTATTATTATTTTTTTTCACCTCAACTTTCAGACTTAACCCAGAAGCATACCCATGTCCCCAACCACGCAGGAAGCTACCATCTGCACATAGCCTCAGAATATGTGCAAACCAAATAAATGAGGCCATAGTTCCCATGTTTTTGAAGCACACATCAATGGAACTTTTGTACATATTAGGAAAAATGTGTTCCATGGACATATTTAGTAGTCTTATGAGAGATTAAATAGATATTCCAAGATCCATTATAAATCCAAAGTGTAAGTGATGACATCCAGGAATAAACTCCTCACGTATTGGAAATCATGATTCACTCAGAACTCAGTTGATTTATGAAGTGCAAAAATAGCCAAGTGATAACAACATGGTGCTGAGACATTAGGCAGCATCATTGCCAAAACAAGCCTTCTCCAGCCAGATGACCTCCAGGATGTATCAGGATTATAATTTGCACAGTTGCACCAAGTTCAGAAAAAGTTAGCTTCTTTCTACCTGTTGAGTTGCTTGCATCACTAATTATCATGTGAATTATATGGTGGTCCATTTTAGAGAGCCTTTAGCCTAGTTTAACTTTGAAAATTCAGGAATCATGGAGGAACACATAAATAAATGATTCTCTCTTGAACTGACATTTGGGATTCCCCCACCTCAAGACTGCATACATGGCCTTCAGAAAATCTTTTGCAGGTTTTGTTACAAAATGTCGAAAGTGCATATTTAAATGCAATGGCTAAAGATAACTAAGGAATAGATAGGTGGGTAGGCAGCAGAAATTGAAAGGTCATTTGGAACCTGGATTCAGCTGGATTCTATTTGGAATGAAGATGCAAAAACTTGTCTTTACACCGCTGGTCTTCCAAGCTGCCCAACTCAAATGTATATGTGAAGATATCCATAGCTCATCTGATTTGGTTTTCTTCTTAACTGACTAAAGGCAGATAATTCAAATACTGTATGTTTCAAATATTATTTCACTTGAAATTACTTGCATATTTTGATTGCCAAGATAACCTTATTTCCAATTCTATAAATTGGAGATAAGTTCCATTTTAAGGTTTTTAATGCAAAGAGTATTACTGAAATTCATTTCAGTTATTTAAGTTGGAATACTGCATGAACTGGTTGCAATCCCTCACATTGCTTTGGATTTTAATGATAGCATTTAATCTAAAGAAGATAAAAAGGTATACTCTAAATAGGGTGGTAAATCATATTATTCTTTTTTTTTTCATAGCAAGGGAACAATCTAATCATGCCAAAACATGATTAATGGGTCTTCTAAGAGTGCTCATTTGGTACATTATGTCAAAATCTGTGGAAGGATGGTTCTTCCATTAAAAGAAACCCAACATATTGGAGATATGCCAAATGCTTACGACTCAATGTTGAGACATACTTTATTACAAAATGTTCTTTCTTTACAATAACTCTCTTCTGTTTTATATGGTCCAATTTGCCCATGCACAGATGGCACATAGCAGTAATTCCAGCACATTTTAATCTGTCTTTTCAACAACAACAAACCCACCCACCCCTCAAATTTCTTGAGCAGCACTATCTTGAAAGGCTATTTCATGTTCCAAAAGATACTCAGGAGTAACTTCTTTATTTACAAACAAGTTAGTTTGAATATTTTATTGATACTCTGTTAAAAGGCTATTGAGTACCACAAGAATAAATATTGAGTAAAATATCTGCATACCATCTTTGATCAGAATGGCTGATTCACTCAATAAAATATATATCAAAATATTAAAATATAGATGGATGGTCAAGAAGAAATATAAGAAACAGCAAGATTTAAACCTTCTTAAAGAAAAAAAGTAAAAGGTTTTGCCAGGGGCTAAAAAATCAGTATTGATGCCTGGCAAACTTCTTTGGGAAAGGAGAATTCGTGGAAGGAGTTGCAGTCCATTGGTTGCCACCTCGCTTTACTGCCAGCCAGAAGGGTCAAGGAGAAAATTCTCCGCTAATGAACTGACAGTACAGACAGAAAGCTTTGGGTGCTCCTCAGGTTTCATTTGAAAAAAAAAAATCTGCTTGGCTAACATCAAGTGTGGTATATAGTAAAACGTATTTGAGAACTATCATCATTACCATCATCATCCAAAGAAAAAAAAAGAAATATTGTTTATCTCCCTAGGGTACAACTCTTGACAGCATGCAGTCCCAGGACAAATTATTTTGTGATCCCCAGAGTGCTCTCTGACTAAAAATTAGCAGGGTGGTTTCCTGTAATTTGGGGTCAGGAAGTACAATGAAAATTGCATTGTAAAGCTTGAAATTCACTGTTTAGTATAATTTTTTTTAATGTTTTAAATTATGAATAGTGAGGGAAATTTCCAATCAGAAAATTGCTGATTTTCTTGGGGTCATTTTTGTTTAGAACAATTCATCCCTTGTGATATATTTTCCTATCCTGATATCTTCAAAATTTGGACTATACCTCTCATCATGGCTACTCACTGCGCAAAATCTTTTTCAAGAGGTTTTCAGCCAGGAGTGCTGACTTTACCATGCTTGGTATGTTTATCTGCTATTTTGGCCCCACTTACCTATTATTAATTATGTCTTGCTTTATTTACAATTGGCATGGAAAAGCAGGATAGATGGTTCATGGTGACCATTACACCAAATTAGTTAAAATCACTTTGTTTATATTGAACCTACTCATTGCAACACAGAGCACAACTGGGCCTTTCTTCTGCACGTTTGAAACATATAAGTGGTAACCTGAATCTTCTAATACACCCTTAGTCATTGCTTAGAGGTGTGGAATCAAAACACAGGACACAAATGCAAAATAATCAAGGCTTCACTCCAGTGTTTATTAGACATACCTACTGGAGGGGGACCCCACCAAAGGTTAGTGGGAGACACTCCCCCTGTAGGCAAAATGGATGCCCTGATATTTATGCAGTTCTACAAGAAGGGGAAGGGAAAAAGGATGTATATGTATACATATTCATATGATGATGTAGGCATACCACCTAAATGAACAATACTTCTCAAGTTACTTTCTGCCCCTCTGTTATCTGCTATCTACAAGGACAACTGCTACCTACTAGGAAGAAGAGAAGAAGAAACTAATTAGTTCAAGGTGCCAAATGCCAGGAAGAAGGCATCCTCCCTTAAGTTGCTAGGGGGATGTTTGTGACAAGGAGTTTACAATCAGCTTAGTTTACACCAGCTTCAAAGGTACCAGCTTCAAAGGTGCTGCACATTCCTTTGTTTCAATTTTATTAAGGCGATCCCATTCATCTGAGGCCTTTAAAAACTTGCTTCTTTCATCCAAAGGTATATTTTCCTCATACAGGTCTTGGTACACCTTGATCTAAATACACACATTATGCTATGTTGTAATGTATCTTGTGTTGTCTTTCTGCCCTCAGCTGATTGTAGTTTATTCAATAAAGTACGGTTGAATACTATAACTGAACTATGGCTTAGCACAATGTATGCAGAATGTTTTATAGAAGTTCTGCTTCTGCCTATACTATGGCCAGCTGAATAAACAAGCTCATAGAACAAAAGGAACAAAGCAGCACATAATTATTGAAGATTCATTTTAGCTCCTTTCATTTTTAGTTAATACATTGATTATTCAAAAAGTCAAAGACCCAGAGATTCAAAAGATTGTTTCAAGATACTTTATTGTTGAATCAAGACTGACATGAAAATCAAATGGAATGTAAAGGAACAGAGAGCTTTAGACTTACATTTACTATAGATTTGTAAACTGGCCTATTGCACATATAGCTCTTAATCTTATTTACAAATGCAAGTCCTTGGTGGGGTAAACCACTCTGATTCTCTTTTGCTTGAGAGGAAGAACTGAAGCAAAGAAATTAATCTCATTTACATTGGCTAGACAGAGATAGCATTTTAAGTATAGTCATTCTAAACCATTTCTGCAAGGACTGGACATTCCTGATCTTATATAAACTCATATAGTAGCAAGTAAGTGCTTCAAGGCTTTGGACAAAAGGAAATACAGCTGACTCAGGATACCAACAATCATTGGACAGTAAAACTAAAATAGCCACAACTTTATCAAGTGTAGACTAAGGGAACCATTTAACATTCTTTCATGAGACAGAATGGGTGGATGATGAATGTAGTAGATAGCAGTGTTTTCAGGAGTGATTAAAAAAAGTCAAGCTGGTGGTTGTGACAGTGTTACCGAAGCTCACATGCAATGCTTCTGTACATGTGTCAATATTCACACATGTAGAAAGGGACAGGGTTTTTATTGTGCTGCTGTGATCACCATCTTGACTGTTTTGAACCCATCCTGGAGATGCTGCTTTGAACCCATCCTGGAGAGGTGGGACTAAGGAGAATAGACCTATGGTTTACCGCCAAAGAACAATAACAATAACAATCCATTATTAATATTTTAATGGAAACCCTCTTACAAGGTTGCAATTGACAGCCAGCAGAGAAAGAGAAGATTCTCATCTGCAAGTTATATATGAAACTAGGGAATCGTAAGCTATTCTGCATGTCACTGCAGAAATGTCTACCTATTTGACAGGAACTCAAACGGTACAAACAATGCTATGCAAATAACTTGCAAATATCTTACCTACTTACAAGTGACTTGCAAATAACGTACTTTTTTTTGTACATCATTTACTGACACAAAACTATGCTAAAATGTATATGAAAGTACAATCTGTACAAAGTTCTAGCTTTCTGACAGAATGGATCATCCTAAAATTAGGACTTAATTGACAATTTTATATCAAAACTTCACAAGATGGAAGTTTCATGAATAGTTGTTTTGATACTTGCACATTAAACAATGACAAACAGCCTAACTACTTTGAATTTTACAAATAAAGCTCTAAACCAATAAATTCAATGAATCTAGGTTCTACAGAAGATAAAGTCTAGGCATCCATGCCATTTCATCACTGATGATGTGAAAGCCTACCTGCATTTGCAACATTTACCTTGGGGTCAATAGATTGGAGTATGGCTCTAAATAGGTCATCAAAAATAGTCAAAGTGCAGTAGAACTTATACAAAACATCTAATTGCACAAATCTTGATAATTTTACTTACAAAACTAATTCTATGCATTCTTTTTGTAGATATCTTCTGCTCAGCCCACACAGCACACACACATAAGTTTAAATCCAAACAGACAGGCCGGATATACTTCTACAGCATCATGGCTCTTATCCCTTTAAGACCTGTAAGGACAGACATTCCAGTAGTGCACCTCTGTCCTCACCTTACAGTAAATGGGAAAATAGTACTTCTTAAATACTGTTGGACTTTGGGTGTCTTGACAGAACTGAAGTGCTATCCCTTCTGATATACAGGCCTTCAAGGCTTAAGTGGTTTAATAGATCATACCTCTCGGCAGTATGATTTCTGCAAAAGTTTTCATTTTTTGAAGGTTATCTCATACTAGGTTTACCATACATTCCATTTCTAGATTTTAAAATTCAGTATAGAAAAAAAAAGAAAAAGAAAGCTAACCCTAACCCAGCTTTGCAATTTATCTAAACATCTATTTCAGAATATTCTGGGTTGTATAAATTCATTTGCTTCTTTATGTACTCAAGACAATGAGCAAAAATTGAATAAATGGCTATTTTGTTCTTCTATAAACTCTAGAAGACATATTTGATTCAGAGTCTGATCCCTGATAATACAGTCCCACTGGTTCTATACAGAGAAGCAGCTAGGGGCCTAATCTGATGGGACATCTGCCTGTGTAAGCTTTGTTCCACTGAATGAGAAGAGACCAAACATGACTCTTCATAAGACTACCTCCTAATTCATTTCAGAGCAAAGATTAGAAGGAGAGAACCCCACCCTGCTTGGCTACAAATGTCACGAAACAAAGAATTCCTCCCAACTGTTATCAGATTAATGCACATTCCTCCCACTAGTCTGAAAGGGAACGAGAAGATAACAGTGATAACACCTCACACTTCAAGATTTCCATTAAAAAAAAAAAATACAAAAGTTTCCCATGATTTTTCTTTTAACATAGGCTAAAGCTATGTCTGCTGCTGAGAGGGTTATGACATTAGAGGAGGTGGAAAACTTAAGAGGATGGCATGAAAGGTGTGTCCGAGAATACTGAGTTCATGGAATTGGAGTCTGATTTTGCTCGGGGTGTTTTCAGAATGCTTTCAGCAATTACAGTCTCATTGGGAAACATTCTGACTTTCCCATTTTGACCTGGCTTTGGCTCCTTCACAGGTTCAAGAAACACCACTCTTTTGCCACTGCTAGCTTTCTTCTCATCTGCTGGAAGTTCGAGGGGTGAATTGGAGGTTAGTATGGATGCATGAGGTGTGCTACTTTGGTTCAGTTGCCTTTTCCTTCTCTTCGACTTGCACTTACAAGGACAGGGCGTCAAGTAGAGGTAAAGAAGTACCAAAATAATACTGGCTACACAAGCTGCAAGGGTAGTAAAAGCTGTGTTAAATGTTTCATGTGAGTAAGATTTGTCCGCTGTGAAATTGCTGACATTTATTCTCACTTCAATTGTTTCATTCAATAGTCTTTTCTTATTTATTGCAACGCAGGAATAAAGCCCAGCATCTTCATACTGGGCGTCATCTATTTCCAAGCTCCCATTATGAAATACTTTGAAGTGTTCAGTTGTCTTTCCTGGCTCCAAAAATTGATTATCTGGGCTGATCCAAATGAAATGAGTCCCAGTGTCACTGATTTTGGTATCACAGGGTACTATAATCCTCTCACCAACTTGTGCTTCGTGAATAAAACCAAAGGCATGGAAAGAACCGTTAATGGTGCTTTCTGAGCAATTTAAGTAATTGTTCTGCAATAAAGGCAGTTTTTGGGAGTCTTTATTGCATGTGTATTCAGTCTTGAAGTCTTCCACTGAACTGAAATGCCGAAGGTACCAGAAGCTCAGCATGGAATAAAGTGTACAGTCACAATGAAATGGGTTCCCATGAAGATAAATTCCACTCAAGTGTCGAGCCGGTACTAAGCTCATGTCATTAATTGGTATTGACTGGATCTGATTGTAAGAAACGTCTAAGAGCACAAGTTCTGAGAGTTTATGTTTCCCAGTGTAGAGTTCTATTGGGAAGCGTGTGAGAGAGTTGTAACTTAAATACAGCTTTTGCAGTGTATGAATTCCTCCAAAAGCAGCAGAATCAATCTGTGCAATATGATTGTTATAAAGCAGCAGAACCTCCAGCATTCTCAGCTCCTGAAATACAGGATTATCCAGTGACCTCAAATTGTTGGAGGACAAGTCTAGGTACTTGACATTTGGAATAACTGAAAAGCTCCCTACAGAAATACTGAAAATATTGTTATGACTGAGAATGAGAGTGGTCAGCTTCTCAAGCAGCATGGGTATCCAGTCTTGATCCAAAATCCCAATTCTGTTGTGACTCAGATCCAGTCTTTTTATGTGCTTGAAAAGAGTTGATGGTACCCTTGAGAGGTTTCTGCTGGTGCAGCTCACAAGGTCACTGGCACAGATGCAAGTGGTGGGGCACATTACAGAGGCACTATAACATACACTTACAGTGAAGATTAAGAGGCATCCCAACCTCTTGTAGTTCCCATGAAGAGATGGAGTCGTGTGCCAAACAGAAGACATGACTGTGTTTTAGCCGTCTTCCAATTTTCCTTGCCACACTTTAGGCATGTAGGTCACTTTGTACCAATCACTGTTGAGAGAGAGAGATACATTAAAAAAAAAAAAGGATATTAATATCTAAAACCATCCAACATTTTACGATATTCACCCAAATGAAGTTGATCATAAATTTAGGATCAGCCCTTCTTGTTGGGATTAATGGAAAGAAAACTAGAAAAGAGCCACGGAAGACTATTTTATATATGCATGAGACTACTATATGCACAAAAATGGAAAGACTTTGAAATACCCCCAATGGATTGGTGAAGATGATGGAACTAGCAGATATGACAAAATTAATCAATTTGTTTGCTTAGAGGAAGATGAACTATTACATTTATTAGTGACTGGAAAATGAACTTGTGATTTATGGGTTTGATGATTACATGTGTATTCAGTCTTGAAATCTTCCACTGAACTGAAATGTCGAAGGTACCAGAAGCTTAGGGGAGAAAGAAATTATGATGTAATCTTAGAAAGAGAAGATAAAATATAAATGCATTTACAACCGCTGTAAAAAAGATTGGAAGCTGCTTCTTTATAAACTTTTCGTTTTCTATTTCCTTTCTTTCTTATTCATTATTCTTCCTTATTTTCTTTGTTTCTTTTCTAATATTTGTATTGCTTTTATCTTGTTAAAAATTTCTTCAATAAATGAATAAGAAAGAAAGGAAATAGAATTTCCTTTCTTTCTTATTCATTATTCTTCCTTATTTTCTTTGTTTCTTTTCTAATATTTGTATTGCTTTTATCTTGTTAAAAATTTCTTCAATAAAAATTATGTAAAAAAAAAGTTTATGATCCTTTCCCCTTCACCCCCATCCCAAGGAAGAATAGGCAGAAAAAAATTATACATGTAGTCCTCGCTAAGCGACTGCCTCATTCAGTGAGTGTTAGAAGTTACGACAGTGCTGAAAAACAACTTCACAACCAATGCCTGCTTTTATGACCTTCAGAGCATCCCTCAGTCATGTGATCGCCATTACAGTCAGTATACCTGACCTGTTGTTTTTCTATTTTTCCCCCCCTTGCAGAGTGGAGAAAATAGAGAGGAAGGGATTACGAGAGTGTAAGCAGGCACACAATGGGGAATACACTGGGCTGTTTGCATACCACATTCTGGGCTACCACTGCCAGCGAATTCCTTTCAATGTGTATTCCCCATTGTGTGAAACTGATTTGTCTTGTCAGTTACAGGCTGTGAGTCAGCTATGTCAGTGCTGGGGTGAGCATTTCAAAGGGCAGGGGAGTTAAGAAAAGGAAAGCACAGTCATGGTCACATGATTTCCCACTTAGCAACTACTTCACTTAATGACAGAGCTGCTGGTCCCAATTGTGGTTGCTAAGTGAGGACTACTTGTAAACATAGACAAAAATATGTGCAGTGCTCAGTTTTCATGGCTAGTCCATCTAGAATTGCCAACTCTAGCTGTAACCAATCTTGGCCATTTCCCATTTCCCAGTAAATGGCTGAATTTGCCACAATACATACCTGCCAGAAGTCAGTGGTCATCAACTGAATAATTACTAATTCCCTGTAAAAGAAGGTACCCCATTTATAAAATTATTTTCAATCTGTTTATACTAACTATAATCTGTCACACATCCACTTTCACAACTACAAGTTTCCTTCTTTCCTTCAAGATGAAAAAGCCAAAGAGAATCAAAAGTAGGAAGGTGATGAGGTGAAAGGAAAGGGTAGCTAGGAAGGAAAAGGAAAAGAAAGAAGGTGGGGAAATAAAGCTGAACAAAGATGACATACAGGGAAGAGGCAACTGGACCAGGAAGAAAAAAGAGAAAGTCCTATTTAAGCTTATAGGACAGGTTAAACTCCAGGCAAACAATGAGATAAACTTTGGTCAAGCTTCCAAGGCAGTCATGCTTTGCAGTGGAGATGCCTGAAGTCATCTGGAGCACTTGCTCAGCCCTTTGTTTTCAGGAGCTTCTTCTATTTTTATTAGGAAATGGAAGACAATCTTCTCACTTCCCAGTTAAAGATTTAGGGGAAGGGGGAAATTTGGAACTCTCTCAATTAGGTCACAGTACATATAGTGGCATTTTGCAACTCATTCCCTGCGGCTGTCCATCCAACTGGGTTAACACGGTATTGTTTTTGCATCTCTCTCCATAAGCAAATTAGAAACAAATTAATGCAAAAATATTAGTGTAAGTTAGTACAAAATATTACACAAGACAATCCTCTTGGATGGGACAGGCATAAAAATTTAATGGTGACACTAGTTTCAGTCTTCTGAAGTTATATATGATGTTATGTATGGAAGATGATTAAAAAAAAACAAACTAAGGGAAATGTCCCTTATGATGTCAGGAATTGTTGGAGTATTCATATAGAAGGAAAGTATTTGCATGGTGTCTCAGATATGGGCCAACTGGATCAAATGTTTGTACTTGGTGGTGGAAATGCCAACCACAAAAAAGATGCAGTGCTGGATCTACTAATGCACATCCTGGAAAGGTAGCTATCTCTCAATAAACTGAATTCAAATGTTTCTGGTGAGAGCAAATAAATACTGTATTTATCAGCATATAACAGGCACATTTTTTCCTAAAACTGGGGGCTGAAATCCTAGCTGTGTGTTATACGCTGATATGCCCTGAGGCTTCTCACCTCAAGCGGCAGGGCTGGGAGAGCATTTCTTTTTTGGCAGCTGGCACAACCCAGTGCTGCTGCTCCAGATGGCCGCAGAGGGAGGCACAGAGCCCGTGCTGCCCCGGCAAGGGGATCGGCGCTCCTCCGAAGGCTGCACCGTGCAGTTGGGACCACAGGAGAGTCCAGAGATACGAGTTCTCCAGCACTCAGTGTCAGAGCAAAGTGCAAAGAGCAGATCCACAGCAGCTCCTCGGTTGGCTAAAATGGGAGGGGCAGGAAGCCATGTGCCACTCATTCCCCGGGCCTCTGACTTTGCAAACCAGCCACTGTCCTGAGAGTGCTGCACCTGGAGAAGGAAGAGTTAAGCGCCGGTGTGCGTGCGTGTGTGCGCGGGCATGTGTGTGCAGTATTCCTCCCCTGCCACTTGGTGATTCTGAGACACTTGCTGAGAGTCTTGGAGTGGGGTTGGAACAGGAAAAAAAACCGCACAAACACATGCATGTGTGCACACACACACACCAGCACACATGGAGGCCTGGGGAATGGGTGATGTGTGGCTCCCTGTGCCCCCCCCCCATTTTAGCAAACCAAGGAGCTGCTGCGGATCTGCTCTTTGCGCTTTGCTCTGACACTGAGTGCTGGAGAACGCGCATCTCCAGACTCTCCAGTGCTCCTAACAGTGCGGTGCAGCTCTCGGGGGAGGAGACACCCCTCCATGCCAAAGTTTCCCCAAAGGGAAGGAGAGAGGAGCAGGCGAGGCCAGGGGGAGCTGGAGGAGAGACTGCCTCTTCCACGCTCGCTGGTCTCGGGTTGATCTGAGAGGGGTCGGGCACAGCTCTCGGTGGGTGGCCAGGGGGGCGTTGCGCAGCGCACTGCGGCTCCACGCCTCCCTCTGTGGCCATCTGGCGTGGCAGTGCTGGGTTGTGGCAGCTGCCAAAAAAGAAATGCTTTGTTCTGACACACTGAGTGCCGGACCGCACGGATGATGTCACTGAAGACTGCAAACAGAGGAGGCATACCCTAATAATAAATTACTACACCCCCCAATCCACTCGGACCACCAGGAATTTTTAACTCCTACTGGTCTACCAGAGATCTTACCTGCCTGCCTGCTTCAGACAGGTAAGCAGGAAAGGAGGGAATAAGTACCAGTATGGTACTAAACAGATTACCATTACCACACACTATACAGAGCTAACAAACACTAATGGTACATACACACTATACACAGCCAGCCTACAACATACAAAAGAGGCGCCTTTTCTTTCATATTACATATTTACCTTATAAGTGGTATAAATATTAATAAGCAAAAAGTTCAGAGCTCCCTTTATTTTGCTCCCAAGTCATTTATTTTAAATTTACGTTTTTTTACTCAAACTTCCTTCTTAAAATTAAGGTGTGTGTTATACACCTGTGCGTGTTATACGCCAATAAATATGGTAAATCCAGATATCTCACAAGGTCACCATTCTTCCATGAAATCTCATGAAAGTTTTCTTTTTTTAAAATTAGACACTTTGAAGAAAAAAATATATGAACATGAAAAAAGAATATTTTAATATAATGCAGATGAACAAATCAAGGATTTAAAAATGTTATGGAGATTATAGCTTTCTAATGTGTTGTTAATTAGTTGTACATAGGTAAGTATATTGCATATATTATATCACACTAAAAGCTAAAGATCACCATTAAACATGAGCTAAAATTAAATATCAAGAACCATTGTCAACACAATCACTGAATGAAATGATATAATACGTTCAGTTGATATTACAAAGAATATATTCTGAATAATATCTCTCATAAAACTGAAATATACATTCTATGCATAGGTAAACCCCAATTTTGTATGTGGTACTAATGCATGCATTAAAGCCTAATGCATTAGATTTACATTTAAGATAGAAGGTGATTCTAGACACTGAGTCTTTTGGAGTGGTTGGCCACAATAAATCTAAACAAACAGCAACAACTGAAGCATACTTCCCCAACTTGTTCTTCTGTTGAGGGGATCAGATGACCTTTCCAATAAAAAGCAAATAATATCCTCGCAGTAATTATCATATATAAAGCTAATTCAGTATATGAGCATGAAATTGAGCAAACTCAGGGAGGCAGTGAAGGACAGGAAGGCCTGGCGCAATATGATTCATGGGGTAGTGAAGGACAGGAAGGCCTGGCGCAATATGATTCATGGGGTAGTGAAGGACAGGAAGGCCTGGCGCAATATGATTCATGGGGTAGTGAAGGACAGGAAGGCCTGGCGCAATATGATTCATGGGGTCACGAAGAGTCGGACACGACTTAACGACTGAACAACAAAAAAAATTTCATCAGTTAAAATAGGAATTCAAGTTTTAAGATTTGTTTCATTGTAGTACAACTCATTTTCCAGAACTGTTGAGCTTTATGGT